TTGCACCAGTCAAGTGCAGTAAAATAATCGATAACATGTGATACAAAGCGCATGTTCATTTCAAGCGAATGAAGTTTGTAGCTCATAGAACTGTTCATCGTAAATGTTTATGATTTTATATATACTTCTGATGTGCTACTCACGAGTAGTTAAGTGAACACTATTGAATATTCGTGTGGGATTCTCTCCGTTGCGCTGAATGGTGAGAGAATATTTATGGAATCAATATTGCTCTAGACCCTCAAGTTTTGAACTGTTGTTTAACACTATCACATCTGATTATCTGAAATGAATCAAGCAATTCATCAGTGAAGCTAGAGGACAACTCTATTCTTCGTTTGAGCGACCAGTTGGTTTCACCGAAGTTCCTTTCTAAAGTTTGACTTTAACTCCCGATTTCTTAAAGGATCTTTTCAAACTTACTTTTTCGATAAAAATTCTTGGCACAGTATTAACTGTATATCTAAAGAAGTAATATTCTCAGTTGATGGCTAGTGACGGTTTCACTTGTTCTGTTTTTATAACTGTCAAGAAAATCTGACGCACAGAAAACAACAGTAACTTCTTAGTAAAAGACATAGAGGTCGAATAATTCGATCCAACAAAACAACAGAGAGTAACAAGTATGTCAATAAATAGTAAAAGACATTACTTCTGAATTTTTGTGGAAACGAATTTATCTGGTCAAGTGCAAGAGTTTATATCACAACTCAAAACTAAAAAATAGCATGAAAAATTTACACCATCCTCTGTTGACATTCCTTACAGTTGAGTAGTTTTATGTTTTGTAAATAATTTCATTAGCCATTTCATATCAAAGTTAAGTGTCTAAATTTGGTTAGCCTGAGTAAGTCGGCCTTCTTTACGAATATCGGTGCTAAAAATTCTTATCGAAATCAAAATCTGAGCCGATATAACCCGAGTGGTAGCAGAGGATTTCTTCAATTTTAATCATTGTTTTTTGTGTAATTAGTTTTTTCTCAGAAATAACAGGCTTAAAAGTCTTAAAATACCAAAAATATTTTCAAATAATACCAAAGGGGTCTACTTTATTGAGTTGAATTTGTGTTTCTCTTATTCGTACTGTGTAAGTGCATGAGTAACGATGACCTATTTGATTATATTGTTTACAAGAGTGCCACTACTCCTCTTAGCTTTTATCTAATCGTAGGCTAAGGTAGAGGGAAGCATTTGACTCATCAACTGTGTTCATTTTGTTCAAAGAAGCTGTACGGGACATGATACAATTCGTGGATGTCAAGTCAAAGAAACTGGTAGCAAAAACATTCTACACCATAGCATAAATTGAATAATTATTTTATTTCTAGTGATTTCACTTTCTAATTCAACGAATGTTCGATGATAATTGAAGTTGTAGACGTTAGTGACCCACTTCATTTTGTAGTTCTGTCAACACACGCTGATTGTTGAATGCAGAACTGAAGCTTTACTTGAGATGAGTCTTCGAAAACAACTATGCTGGAAAACTCACTTACTGATTGTATTTCTGAAAGTTTGAGTTTTTCTTTCTTGATCTGAGCAGTCATTTATTATGAATGGCTCTTTGTTACTCAGTTTATATGGTTGAGATGGACCACACTTATAGCTGGTTTACACTTTTCCATGATGATAGTGACTCCTGTTGTATCTATATGACTAGTATTAGCTGAAATTCTATGTTAATGTCTGAGTAATCATGTATTTTACTGAGTGGATGATTTGGATACTTTTCTCACAGTTTGATATCAAAGACTTAATATGATTGGAAAATGATTACTTTAAATTTTCAATTGAATCAGTATCAAAAGATGATTAATGAAATGAGTATTTTATTATCTATTATTATTAGTCCCTTTGGTTCCTAATGCAACATAGGGCTTCAGTAGCACGTCTCCAGTGAACTCTGTTCTCTGCAGTCTTTGAACCTGGCTCCACGACAGCCCACAAGCTCTCATTTCCTCCTCACACCATCTCCTCCATGTCACCCTCGCCTCGGATGCCCAACTCGTTGCTTCCCATCTGACTTCCACTCGATGGCCTGGCCTGACGCGTGATGTCCCCGAATGGTCTTCTCAGTGTATGCACAATCCAATCCATCTCCACTTCCTTCTGCTTAGTTGTTGAGCGATAGCTTCTTGATTGGTTCGTCGCCAAGCAGCCAGCCAGAGTTCCTTGTTGCTTATTCTTATTATTCTGGCCATCTGATCTTATCTTCAGTGACGAACCAGCATAGGAGGCAGTTGTTGATGAGTATCTGTAGTTTGTTGAAAATCCCTTTCGTAACGCACCAAGTCTCTGAACCATACAGAAGCACTGACTTGACGTTGGTGTTGAAAATCCGGATGTTGTTCACGCTTTATGCTGAGTGCAGTGCAGTGGATCTCCACACTGGTTTCAGGCTAATGAACGTCAGTCTTGCTTTTCCAATCCTGGCTGACTTTGACATCCTCGTCTGTGCCTGTGGTGCCTGTAGTTGAAACAGTGCTTCCTAGATAGGTGAAGTAGGTTACTTCCTTTAAGTTTCTCTCGTTGATGGTGACTGCAGTTTGTTGTTATTGTTGGTTGGGTATCTTCATCACTTCTGTCTTCTCTACATTCACTTGAAGTCCCGTCTTCCTTCGCTGTCGTGCCTCTTCTGTCAGCTTGTTGGTTTTCGCCTGTACATCTTCAAGTTTGTGTGACATCAGGCACAAGTGATCACTGGCGGAATCCAGATCTTCTAGGTTCTTTTCCTCAGTCCATCCAGCATATCCCCCTCCTCTCGCTCCTCACTGTTTGCTGCATGATCCAGTCCACTACAATCAGGAATATCACGGGTGATAGTAGGCAACCTAGTTTCACTCCTCTCTTCACTTCGTAGGCATCACTGAGCTTCCCATTTTGAATTACTTGGCATGTGGCACCTTCATATAGTTGTTGAATGAGATTGATAAAGGTTTGTGGCATTCCGTAGTGTTGAGGCAGTTGTCTGCCAAATTACTTCTCGGTCGACGCTGTCGAAGCAAGGCCTTCTCAAACTCGATGAAGTTGAGGTGAAGATCCAGTTGACTTTCATTCTATGCTCTGTTCTTTGATGATGCGTAGTGTGGCGTTACAATTTGGTCCATACATGATTTGTACTTCCTGAATCCAGCCAGTCTGTTCCGGTCGTAGTTGTGAATCCAGCCCATCCTTTAGTCTCTTCAGGATGATGCGGCTCAATATTTTGCTTGCCTTGGTTGGACAGGAGTGGAGTATGATTCCGTGCCAGTTCTTGCAAACACTGAGGTCTCCCTTCTCTAGAAGTTTGACAAGGTAGCCCTTCTTCCAATCAATGGGCAGGTACCTTCCCTTCCCTCCACACCTTCTGCAACAGTGGTATAAGTGAGCATGCCCGCTGTTGTCTCTGTGTCTGTTCTCAGTGCTTCTGGCGGGATTCCATCTGGTCCTACTGCTTTCCCACATTTCAGTAACTTTATGGCGCTGAGAACTTCGACTTTTGTTGAAGGGCTTGTGTTCACTGGGTGGGTAGTTCTGTGGCTGTAGGTGGTATTTCTGGACGAAGTTCAGGTTGTGGTTGTGATGGTCGATTCAGGAGTTTTGTGAAGTGGTCGGCTCATTGTTTCCTTTGTTTCTCTTCTTTGGTAATTGAATTCCCGTCATCATACTTTATTGGTTTCGTCTGTGTTGATCTCATCCTTCCCAGATAGTAACCTGTTTATTTGATACAATGTTGTCAGGTCTGTGTGTCTCCTACCGGCCTGCAGCCTGTTCTGCTTCACTTGCCAATGTATCGTACAAGTGTCTTTTGTCTTTCCACACACTCTTCTTCACATCTTTGTCCAGTGTTTTATACATTGTACTCAGTTCCTGTTCTCGTCGTTGAGCATCCTTGCACTGCACTGGTTTATCTTCTGCTTCACTATCACCATCACGATCTTCCTCTCCTTGCTCTATCAACTTCCATGTGGAGGTCCGTCCAGATCCATTCCTTATCTCATTTCTTCTTCCTTCCTAATACGGTTATGCAGGTTTCTTTCCACATAGCTTTCAAAGACTTCCAGTGCTCATCTACACAGGTTTCTTCAGGGATGTTGCTCGATATCCCCCATGTTGTCTTGATGACTGGCTGACGTGAAGATTTTCTTACAGGTTCCGTCCTTCAGTTTCCGAGTGTTGAACTTCAATTGTGGTCTACCACCAACTTCTGTGAAGGCTTTTAACTTGTTGATTTGGAAGGCAGGTTCCTTGCACTAGAAGGTGAGTGGTCTTAGCCGACACCTGCTCCTCTTCTTGACCTTGTGTCAAGTAGGCTGACTGCGTCTCCATTTTCTTGAGATTGAACTAAAGTCGAATTTATTTCTAGTGTGTCCATCTGGTGAAATCCGTGTCGCTTTGGAAATGAGTATTTACTTGTGTATAAGACCTGTGATTGAGGCAGCTTAGGCATTAATCTATTTCAAATGGTAAATAAACAGTCATGAATGAAGGGAGGGTCGGTACGTAACTAATAAAGCTTGATTACTAGTTGTCAGGTTGTTTTGATATCTTTCGGAATTTAGTACTAACTATTTTGGTGAATTCATTCTGAGCACCTGTTATTGATAAATTTTAACTGAGTTTTGTTGACGAAATTGTATAGATTTGAATGAAACTGTTGGTGCATAGCTTACAGGAGTTCACTCCACACAACACGTTTAGCCTACCGAGGTATGCGCAACGAGGTAGAATCACTACCCTTACGATAATAGGTGTGGTTTGTTCCCCACCACCTGTTTTACTAGTTCACATACATGCTACCTGCAATTATAGAGAACATCAGTTGATAAACCTGCATTAGTTAGGATGAAGAGTAGTCATCCTGTGGTGTTTGGTTAAGGACATGTTGGTCTAAGCACAACGAATATTAACTTATTCACAAAGTACTAAAACTATTGAATATTTTACTACTCTTCTAGTAATGAGGATTGAACTCACATGACACTTAGATTTGTTTGTTCTACATTTTCCGTATTCTTCAGGAGTATCGAAGCGCTAAATATCAATCAAACGTGTTCAGATGAATCAACTGCTCAAGATGGTGAGTTGATTTTGTCAAAATTCGTAGAAATCATCTCTTTCTAATGTTGAATACCATGAACCGGATATTCTTTAGAATTCATCCATCATCCTTTTGTAAGCACCGGAATTCGCTATCCAAGAGTATCCTCAGGTTGTCTAGTTGATGGAAAGACAGTAAATAATCGACCTACTCAACTATGAAGAACCTAACACTGGCTTTTTTGTGCCTTTTTCGGGAACGATGAACGACCGTTTAAGCAGAGATTATCAGAAACAGAATAACACGACAGCACTCAGTGATAGAATGAAGTTCATCAAAGAAACTAAAAAAATGTCAAAATATGTTTTGGGAACCATGTTTTAATTTCATTTTCTATTCGGATTTTCAAATGTTTTGAATTCCTCTCCATTTGCCTTGGTTTATTTAAAAGTTGATGTTGCTTAATTTCACATAGTTATTCGTTCTATGATGCCGACTTATAGGTGCCACCTTGACGCGGTAGCTAGAGTTTTATGTCATAATGACGCAACAACCTAGATTTGTGATAATTCTTGTTCTTCGAGTTCCAACTATGTTGGGGAGGTCCTTGGTATATTGGTACGACTAAAAGCAATTCCTATTATGGTATAAATAGGTATGTTATGATTTCTGTCCGAGGACGAGGTTGTACTGATGACTGGATGGGAGTTTGACAGTAGTAAGGTGTTTTTCTTGGATGACCAGCAGTTCCACACTGATGCTCCCTCTCGTATTGGAAGCGGGGATGGTTAGAAAAGGTCGGTCTTAAAAAGTGACGTTCTTCTCCCCACCCTGCATTCCTCCAGTGACGATAGTAAGGGGTTTTTCATGTGTTAAGACAGCCAAATCTCAAACCAGCAATCCTGTAGAAGTCATATTTGATCAGCACCAAACAGACTTCACATGGGCTTTTCAGACCACACAAAAATAATACCTTTTGTCTTCCAGGTATTCCATAGAAACAACTTCCCCACTGTAAGCAGACGAGAAGTGTCAACTTCTAGGATGCTTTAGGTAGTATAAAAAACCCAATAAAAAAATTACTTTCGTTACCTTTGTCTCATCATTTGTCTTCACTTCTTGAAACCTGTATCAGGTCTCTTGCAACTTTCTCGACTTCTCACTCTAATGATCCAAGCCAACCTAATACTATTCTTAGTCTCTTAAAACCAATCTGTCGGTTTCATATTGAAGGGTTTTAACTTCAGAACTGTGTACCAAGTCGGTAAACAGGTGCTACTTGCCACAACTTTGAAATATCGAGGAATGGAAGCATGCTGTGTTTTTGAGACAAGCACACCAGACCTAAGTATGGTTATCCATTTACCTCACCTTACCAGTGCAGTAGATCTGAAAAATTAGGTTTACAAATCTCTAGATATTTATTGGTTAGCTCTCAAGTACTCACTTGTGTAGGTAAACATTAAATTGTAGAGTAGGAAACTCACTCCTCTCCTGAATACCAACCATGTGTACTGTTTGAATGGATCTGTAAGAACTGAGAGGAGTTGTGAAATTTGTTGATGATTATTCATAATCTCCAACAATGTGCATACCAACTACGGTTCAAATGGTTCAAAGAATGGATTCTATCAAATGCCGTGAATTTTAATACATAAATAAAAGCGTTTACATATTGTCGTAGTAGCGCAGACGACTTCTACTCTCAAGTAGGACAAGTGAGCCAATCGGAAGGGCATCTTGGAGATATCTATGGAATACCATATTGATGAACCGACTATGGTGATCGTCTTGCTCAGCTTTGTTCTAACAATCACATGCTTTCACCTGGCACTAGCTTCAAACATAAGGAGGGATGCCGTCTTACTTGACATCTGAGGACATTAATCCAACAGTGGACACAGGTAGATCATATTGCTATCAACAATTGGTGATGCGAACCAACGAGGGGTCACCACTTCCCTTTGGAGTACCAGCTTGAATTCTGATCGTGGGTTACTACAAGCAGCTGTGTGTTTTCGCGTCTTGGTTAAGAACAGAACAATAAAGCTTATGTGCGCTCAACGTAAAGATGACAGTGTCTAGTGTGTGTTTATAGAAGAGATGACGAGGTATCAATCTGAACATAGTAGAAGGAAGGAAGGTAAATGTAGTTTGATGAAGAAGTGGTACCACTTGATGAAGATTTTGGCTGTTTGTCTGAATGATGTAGGTGGGCGTAGACTGCGTGACTGATGTCATTGAGATGATTGGAATCAGTGGTTGTAATTCAGTTGTGGCATAGCTGAAAATTGATGAGGATTTCTTAGATTTATCCCCCCTCTTCGATGTCTTCGGTAGTTTCAACGTTTTCACTAACTTGATTTTCAGATTTTTTTCTCTCCTACACCTTTGTCTTCGCTGACACCACTCTTTTTCGACTTATTTGTTATTTGCATAATGCTGTGAAGTATGTCAATTTAAACCGATGCGTTTCTGTGCGAGGTTCTAGGTTCATTTTATCTATCTGTATTTTGTCATACTAAATTGGTTGATATTGTTTATAGAAGTTACTGTCATCCGGAAGGCAATTTTTAGTTACTTAGTGAAAATTTGTTGGTTGTCATTCTCTAGGTTTAGTATCTTAGTGATACATTCAAGATAAGCTTTCAGCATTATCGGGAATTTTCCAACCATCATATTCAAGTTATATGTTTTTACTCCAAATATCATTTGATACTCGTGGGTGAATTTGCAATGTACAATGATCGGTCGTCTATCTAACACCATTTCTTGAAAAGCATCTATAGCTTATTTAGATAGCCCTAAAAACGAAAATTAAAGTAATATGATTTATGGGTCTTAATAATATTAGCTGAATCGGGGTTGTGGTGAAAAAGAGTTAAAGGTGACTAGATTCAAACGTGGCATTAGTCCATAAAATTCACGACGTTTGGTTTCAGCTAGGAAGCTGTAGGTTTCAAGGTTTGCTTTCACAAAACATTCTAAAGTGATGGTTTGAGAATCTTGATATTGGTCAAAATCAGTTGCAATGGCATATATGCATTTATGTCTTGTCTTCATTTTAACATTTCTATATTTGTTCCACTTCATCTTACTCACTTCTTACCGCTTTGTTCTATCGTTTGATCACATTATGTTTATTTCACTATCTTTCATCTTGTTGTTTTGTATCTTGATGTGGTAGTGTGAGCTATGGTGACTTGAACCGTTGTGCACTAATATCGGGTCCTACGTCGAACCTGACTGACTGGTCTTTCAAGAAACAGGTATGACTGAATACAAAACGGTATCTAAATCATAAATTTGAGGCTACGTTGTTTACTGGTATTTGATGTATTGGCTGTCACTCCTCTTTTACACTTTTGAGTACTTCTGTATCATTATTTTTCTACACTTCACCTCTCTTATACTGTTTGGAAGTGTTTATATGTGTCTGTTATTAAAGCAGTTTCCCCACTGTTCCAGCAACTCTTTCAGTAACTGGTGATTCTTCCAGAGCCTCATTTCCCTTCACCGAAGTTGAATATTGTGAGATTTTTCCGCTTTCTTTGTGTTACTTAATAAGTGTTCCAGATTTTCAAAATTACCCGCAACGAAGTAAACAACGTTTGAGTTATCCAAATGATTACTCACTAAATAAATGGTCAGACTGTATTGTCTGTTTTATATCGAGTTTGAAATTCATATGTCTAGAAGTTGCAGAGTTTGTGAAGCCAGGCAAAGTGATTTTGGGTCGTTCATAGTTTGGTCTAGCGCATATATAGTTGGTCAAATATGCTTCTTTGTTGCACGATAAGCAGTTTCTTTTATCTGAAGTCTGCGTTATTCAAATCTAGGTCATCCGACAGTGATTTAATTCATATGTGTATGCACTCTTCACAGACAGTAAGAGTAACATTTCTCATAAAATTCTTATCACATTATTAAGAAGTTAGTGACATTTAATAGTAATAATAATGATTATTGCATCTGAATCATGTTAATAATCGCAGTGTTATTGGTAATGATGTGAAACAGCCAGTTGGTGTTAGATTAGGATTCAGTCTAGAATGAGGAATGAACAGAAAATTGAGCATCAGTTTAGTAATGGTAGTTGATTCAGCTAGTACAAGAATCTGCAATTTAAGCTAAGTAATCCAAACAATAGAAATATAATGTATTTTTGCACACTGAAAAGTCCCTTTGCACCTAACTTGACATTTTTTCTTCGTTTTGTTATTAACGTGAAAATGGATAGTTGAATACGTTTTAAAAATGAGTAAGAGTACATAATATGTTCAAAGGATATATTTAAATGATTAAAGCAAATGAAAAGGTAAGAATTTGATATATATGTTCGGTGGAAAATTTTGGTAGCTCAAAGTTCAAGCAGGCCGCTGTGTGTGTATTACTAAGTCACATTTTGAAAAGCTGGATAATAATTGTAGCCCAGGTGTTTGTGTTGCTTTCTCTGAACTGAGTGAATTAGTCGTCCGACTAAGCCACCCAGTCCAGAGGATGCAAAACAACTAAGTTTGTAACATTTATCAAATCTTCATCAATATGCGGAAAGGTTTAGATTTCCATCACTAACTTTCAACTACTTGTTTCTGGCTAACCAAATTGATTGCTTTATCAGTTGACCATCAGATTGTGACCGAGGTATTTATCATTTCGTAAGTGCTTATCAAATTGAAATGTCGCCACTGGAGTACAATTTGGTCCTAAATCTTAGGCATCAATCTCACAGGAAATCCTGAACTTATGGTTTATGTATGGTAGCGATCATCCGCAAGTCGTATCTAAAACCTTAAAGAAACTGATGTTCCCTAGAAAAATTGAGCCTCCATTACTCAATGTTGCGAAATACACCACTCTTTATGTATGCATCTGTGATACTACGTATTTGCTTATCCACAATCCTTTTCTATGGACAACTTTGGGCCCAATTCAGTTTCTATCCTGTGACTCATATCTATGATAAAATCCAAGAAGACGTCACTTATTCTCGAATAACGTTTCAGACATCGGCTCTGATCTAGGTTATGATCTTCACA